AGGCTGAACAGGTTCAGGTCCCGCAACCTTTCCTCATAGGACCTACCCTGCTGTCCCCTGATCATACGAGTGGCCCTCCTCTGGACCCTCTCCATGCTGTCCACATCCCTCTTGAAGTGCGGCGCCCAGAACTGGACGCAGTACTCCAGCTGCGGCCTGACCAGTGCCGCATAGAGGGGGAGGATCACCTCCCTGGAACTGCTGGAGATGCATCTGTGGATGCATGACAAGATATGGTTGGCCTTCCTGACTGCATCCCCACACTGCCAGCCCATGTTCATCTTGGAGTCAATGATGACTCCAAGATCCTTTTCTGCCTCTGTACTGACAAGAAGGGAGTGCCCCAGCCTATAGGTATGGTGCCGGTTCTTCCTCCCCAGGTGCATCACTTTGCACTTGTCAGTGTTGAATCCCATCCTATGCTCATCCGCCCACCCTTGTAACCTGTCTAGGTCTGATTGTAGCCTATTCTTCCCTTCTAGCGTGCCCACATCCCCCCACATCTTAGTGTCATCAGCAAATTTGAACAGGGTGCTTTTTACCCCCTCGTCCAAGTCACTGATGACTAATTTTATTTTAATACTCTGTTGGCTTTTATAAGTTATTTTGTTTCTTCTGTTCTGTTCTCTTGTTCACTAATTTTAAAAGTTACTTTGCCGTCTTCTGGTCACAATATATATTCTTAGTATAACCAGTTTCCTCCGTCCTCATGTAGGTATCATGTTTGTTCGTAGGAAGCAAGGCTGGATCTGGAGTGCTAAGAAGGCTATGCAATGCATGCCACTTCTAATTTTGCAGATTGTACTAAACAGTGATTCTCTTTGCAGTGCCGTCTGCTGTCTCCTTGGGAAAGTGAGTAGGTGCTATAGCGCTTATGATTGAGGGAAGCCTTAGGGTCAAGCAGGGTGCGGAGTTCTGCTGTTCAGAACTGCTTGTGCATAGCCAAGTAGATTTAAAGTTGTTACAATTATAGATCTAAACAACCCTGATTTATCCTGAATTTAAAAATAAAGATTCGACTCTTTTTGTTCTATAAATTGGTAAGGTGCTCAGATACCAGTATGTTATAAATATATGGAAAGATGGATGAGTTGTTTAGTTTACATGATGTCAAGGATTATCTGTAAGGAATGTTCTGTTTATGCTATGGTGTCATGTTAGTGCCGAGGGAATTAAATACATTTTTTTTTGCCTAAACTGGTAAGTTTAAAGTATTATCTACACATCGCCTATAGAGCAAAGTATAGCTGTCAGTGAAATGGCCACTCAGAACAATTTTTTACTTATGAAACCCACCTTCAATAAAATAGTGTTTAAATGTAGATTGATTTTTAAGGGATGTACGTTGTAGCTGTGTCGATTTACAGGCAAAAGCAGAACTCTTGTGGTACAGGCAATTTATCTTTTATTAGATAGCTTGCAAATAAAAAAAAATGTTTTGCAACTATCTAGTTGGTCTGATAAAAGATTTTGCCTCTACTGCAAAAGTTCTGACTGATTTATTTTTAATACTTTTAAATATAATTTTAATAATTTTAAACATAGGCCTCATTTTTAATAATTAATTTAGCATATGGAAGTGTCTTTTCCCAATATTCGTTTTTTAAAAATACAGGTTCTTGAGTTTCATTTTTCATGTTGTTAATCTAACAATTCAGCAAAAAAGAGAAGCCATTCTGTAGGAATTTATACCCTGTTCATTCCAGTCAGACATCATCCCAAGCATCAGGTAGGTAGGCTGGGTGAAGCTCAGAAGACTTTTTAGAGCATCAGCTGGTGTGGGTGCAAGGCTCCATGAAGTTCAGGAGTTGGGGAATTAATTCACAACCCAAGTTCTTACCCCCCTGCGTATGCAAGCCTCTTTATTTGTTAAGTCCAATGTTTCATACCAGTAAGCATGTTAATCAGTCCTTTGTCTCCATTTGTAGTATTTAGCTAGTTTCTAAATTAATTTCATGAACTACTAACCCGATGAAGAATGTTTTGTATTGAAAAGCTTGTCTAACGTGCATTTCGTCTGATAAAAGATATCACCTCCCCAAGAAATCCTTCATAAACTAGATCAGTGGTTTTTAACTGGGGTGCCATGAGATCCTTTCAAGGATGCCACTAAACAGAAAAGTTATGGAGGAATGCCTTGGGTCTAAAAAGATTGAGGACCACTAAGCTAGATGAACGTACTCGGTTTTATACTTCATTTTGCCAATAATTAATTAGCCAGGGATAACCCTTTGAGCCACACAGTTTACCTGAGTCCAGACAATATGGTATCCAAGAGCCCTGAATTCCAGTCTCATGCTGTAACTAGGAGAGATTCAACCACCACTGAGTCTAATTGTGACGCTGTTTTTATCTTCAGGGTGTTCTTGCATCTGCCACTTTAAAAAACATGAAAAATGGCATAGGGGTGTTATGCTGGATATAGTTTATCTTTGATTCAAAAACTAAGCATTGTTGTTGCTGAGCTGCTCCATGCAAACAGTGCTAGAAGAGCAGGCTTACTATCTATCCTGTCATGCCAGGCTTATTCATCAGCCACTTTACCTCACCCACCACTATACACACACATGTATCTTCTGGACTTTTCATTTCCTGTGGCAATTTATAACGATGTAGCATTCATTTGAATCGAGGAGCTGTATAAGATTCCACTCTCTTAATTAGGAGGAGCAGTGTTCATTGCTCTGAGCCAAATTCTGTTTTCATTTATGCCCATGGAAACCAAGAGAAGTGAATGAGCAGTTCCTCGAGGTGTGAGGGTGGAAGCTGATCCTTTGTCTTCCTACCAGTTCATTTCTATATATAACCACTGTATCATTCAGGAACTTACAGTCTAATTCTACTGTATTTGGGAACTCAGTAAGTTGGATTTGCTTATACCAAATTCAGGGTTTCTTAAATGTGCAGGGGAAATGCTAAGAAAGTGTAATGTATAGACAGAGTGCTGGGGCAATTTACTATGCAAATGGTGTTTGCTGATTAAAAGAATCTAGTTCCCAGTAAAACTAATGGGCACAATCCCATTCAGTGCTTTAACAGTGTAGCTTGCTAGCAAAATGTGCAAATCTTCATCTTGTCAGTGAATGACAACGCAGTATCCCGTCTGTATTCATAATTATCAAAAACATTGGGACGGGTTACTGTGAGCACTGAAGGAAATAAGTATATTCCCTCTACACTTTATAACATAAAATGTATTGCTGGATTTTAGGAGCTGGCAGTATTATCTGTGTTCATTTCTTCAGTTTGTTGGCTCAGTTAATTTATTTTAAATTGAAGACAGATTTTTACTTAGTTCCAACATTTTAACTTGAGACTTGCTTATATTAAAGGTTCTGATTATTTTAGAAATCTGTAAAAGGCTCTGTCTGATGTGACTTGTCTGACTAGGGTTATAACAATCAAAACAGAACAGTTAAGGCTTTTTAATAACAACGGCTTATTAAAATTCATCTTTGCTGGTGGGACTTCTCGGAGCAGAGTGTGGAACATTGGTTGCAGTGCATATTTCTGTATGATGTACAGTAAGATTTGGCAGTAGGAGAAGAGTATACTATTAAGTATAGAATGAAAAATACTGAATGAAAACCTGCTAATGGAAGGTGAGGGTTGCATAGTTTTAAGAGTCAAGATATGTTGAGATTAGCTTGTTACCAGAATTAATTTAGCTATGTTACAAACACATAATTTCCTATTCCTGTCTTGCTGGTTAAAGTATGAAGTAAAGAGTTTACCAAACCAAAACTCACTTCACATTACTCACCTCCTTTCCATAGTCGTCCCCCCAGTTTCTGTTTGCTCCTTTCCATTAGAAAAGCAAAGTGAAGCAACTGGTTCAAACTCTTTCACAAGTGTAAATGAAGTGCGTCTCCACTGTGGTCAAAAGGAGTTAAAATGGTATATAACTGAAGCAGGCCAGCAGAAATATAGGCCCCTTTTTTGTGTACCAGTACTGGGACACAGGCAATGTGGTTTTGAGAACTAACCAAAACAATTTGTCTAAATATGGGTTAAAGAGCCTTTGTTAATCATATTGGGTGTTTATTATGGCAGCTTAGATGTCAGCATTAACCATTTCACCACTGATCATTTTTGCAGAAATTTCCATTTGGGACTGGCAGGAGCTTGCAATTTCCTCCTCTGAATCTGACTTCTAGAAAATAGGACTTATAAAAATCCAGTTGCAGCCTTCTGCTTCTAGCAAAACGTAGGAAGTTGTAGATCACTTGCTGTTGCTCTCGGATAATAGCAAATCTTATTTTGGTTTCATTGCTCAAATTCCCTCAAACATGTTAAGCACCATATGTAAGCCAGCTTTGAGGTTGGAAACTCTAGCCATTTGAGGTACATCAACAAAAATGTTTATTCCTGCTTAAATGAGTCCTATTCTAATAGCCTTAGAACAGTATACATTTACACAGTTCAGGTATTTCTGAATTTTCAGCACTGGTCACAAGAATAAGAAATAGTGTAATTATTTCCATCACTTATAACTCTAAAGCCATCGTAGCCAGCTTCTCCAGAAAGGCTTGCTTTAGCTGAAAGGTAGAGTGTAGAAATTTCACCTTAAAAATGTTACAGGCTTCTAGAAACTGTTTTGTTTTTACTGAAAAAAGTTTTGCAACCTTAAGTTTAGCTGTCGCTCTATTCACAATATGAGGGGAGCAGATGTAGCCTTTGATTGCATAGTTTCTTTGGCGGTCAGCTTTTCTGTTAACCATGTTTTTTGGTTTTTACAGTCCACTCCTTGCCGTGTCCTTTGCTGCCTCCTGTGCAATTCCAGGAATCGCCCTGTTGACACTGGGAGTAAATTCTCTCACTGGGGCGCTAGGAGCTTTCAACATTTTCCTCTACACATGTTGTTATACACCAATGAAAAGAATGAGCATTGCCAACACATGGGTGGGGGCTGTTGTTGGTGCCATTCCTCCCATCATGGGCTGGACTGCAGCTACTGGCAGTCTTGATCCTGGTGAGTATAAAATATACATCCCTTACTTTTTTTTTTTTTTTTTTCCTTGGGGAGGAGTAAAGGGGGAAGGATTTGCATTGCTGCATTTGGGGCAGCTAAAAATAAGCAACCTAGAGAACAGAACTATAGGTTTCTCTTAAGCATAGGGCTTGGTGATTACTGATGCGATATACATTGAAGCACAGTACTTACAAAGCCTGGCTTATATTCTTCTTAGCTATTAAAGGCTTCTTTATGTTGGCAAGCATGCCCTTACAGCACCACACCACATTAGGGCAACAGAAATAAGCAAAGGTCTTGTCATTCTACCTTTTATAAGTCATTAGTAGCAGATGCAGGATCTGGGGAAGCATCACTCCCAGGTGATACATGCTTAGGAAACCTGGAAATCAAAAGCAGGAAGAAGAGCTCTACTTTAGTATCTGGACTACAGTGGAACAACCTACGTACTTTTGGAACAGAAACATTGGGCTTAACTTCAGGTGTTTCTACTGGCAGAGTCCAGTTATGCCTTCGCTAGCTCTCCAAATGCCAGAAACTATCCTAGAATGCCGATGTATTGGTAGATTGCTTAATTTGGGCTTTTGAACTGTAAATATTCTTTTTTTCCCCTCATGAATGGAGTTCAGAGATTTCTTTTTAGTAACTGTGAACTATTTTTACATTGCACGTAAAACACTGATCTGTTCAACAGCTAAACTTTGAGACAATTGGAGCTTGTTCTCCCTGCCAGCTAGGATCTTAAAGCCTCAAAACTATTTTGTTATAGTCCAGAGAAACTTAAAAAGTTTGACTGGGTCTATTAGGAAAAAATAGTCATTTTAGTATTATTTAAATCATTTTTTCAGTCTGTAATAGATAAATATGTAAACATAGTGTTTATAAATTCTTGCATTTTCACATGAGAGCTCATGAAGTTGTAAAGTGCAACTACTTTACTTTTTCAATGCATAACATTTTTAAGAGAGCCAAGGATTTCTTACGGTGGTGTAGGTTGTAGAATTTCTTAGGGTGATGTCTTCTGTTGAACCAACTACGTAGCTGGGATAAAGTTAGACAAGCTTTCGAATGCAAGGCATTCTTTATCAGGTCTCGGAGAGAATGCCTTGCATTCAAAAGCTTGTCTACCTTTATTCCAACTACATAGTTGGTCCATAAAAAGATATCGCTGTAAGAAGTCCTTGCTTCTCACATAATTTCTGGACTGTCTTGAGTACTACATCCCTCTTACACTACTGTAATATTTTTAAGACTTTGTTAATGACTTCAAATACTAGTCTTCTAAACCAGAGTACTCAGAATCCATGCAAAATCCATCTTGTTATTCCTCATTTGTGGTACACATTTGTGACTGTGGAAATGAAGCTGAATTGCTACTGTGTATACTCTGTTATGATGTAGCTCTCAACTAGAATTAGGCTGAAAGTTTCTTAATCACACACATTAGTATTTGGCATCTTGTCTTAATTCCCTCAGTTGTGTCTCCTGAGGAAAGATGGTGTTTTCTTATGTTTTGAAAATTCTTTCAGACCTCTTAGAAAGCCCTCTGTTGGTGAAAAGATGATAATTTAATTTAAAATATAATTTTGGCCACTATTGGAGACAGGTTATTACATTAGATCAACCTTGGATCTGATGCTATATGATGATTCCTATGTTTATAGGTAGGTTTTGTTTAAAGTAACTTTACAGCATCAGCTCTAAATTTGCTGCATTTACTTCACAGTCAGTTTGGGCAAAGCCAAGGTGTTTTCTCAATATTGAAAGAAGTGTTATTAGGTCAATAAGAGCCTACGCAGTGAAACCCACTCCAAGAGAATCGTGGAGAATTCTGACTTGGAATTGACTGCTTCAGTGCATTGCAATATGAAAATTGCATTCCCTTTTATGAAGAAAGTAGATTATCAGTGGTAGAAGGTCTGCCTTTTGAGCTCAGTTCTTCAGGGCTCCTATGAGAGTTAAAGGTGCTCAACACATTGCAGAATCTGATCTCTATATAAGAAGGCTTCTATGTGCATGCCCATATATACATCTATATATGGATGTGCATCTATTCTCTGTAACCTGCAGAGCCACAGTTGTGGAACCCATTAATAATGTGTAATTAGCTAGCAGACCTAACCTAGTTTTTAGGTTCGAGGTGTGAAAATACATTTGCACCTTGTTAAAAAAAGATTGATTATCCAGCTGAGGAACAATGAGGAGCAGACAGAAAGCTAATGAAAAGAAAGCTACTCTGAGTTTCACTGGTATTGCTTGGGTTTACTTTTTATTGTGGATTTTCTCTCCTATTCTCACAGCAATCGCATTATTGTGAGGGTTTCTGGTAGTCTAAGACTAAGGTAGCCATTAAATATAGAACTTCTTTCACTTTTTCACTTTGGGGAGCTAAGTGGCTAACCATTGCTGGTACGCTTCTTTACATCAGAGGCCAGCTAATATCACTGACATGATTCAGCTTTGCTGAAAGATGGTGCTGGTCTTTTGTAGGGTTATCATATTTCCAATTTTAAAACAGAGGATACATGTTGGGGGCGGGGGCAGTAGTAATATGATTGTGGGGGGAGCAGTCAGCAT